GTACCGTTCCCCTAGCAACAGCCAAACCCAGACACGCCCATCGGATTGCCAGACAGAGAAGCGTGATTGGTCCCTCCAGAGAACACGTCTCCTCTTCTCTAGAGTCCAGTGGCGGCGTGCTTTACACCACGGCATCCCACGCTTTGCATTGCACTTGGTGATGTGCGGCTTGGATGCAGCTGCTCGGCCATGGAAACCCGTTCCATGAAGCTCTCTACGCACTGTTGTTGTGCCAATCTGAAGGCCGCATGGAGTTTGGAGGTCTGTAGCTATTGACTCTGCAGACAGTTGGCGACTTCTGCGCACTGTGCGCTTCAGCATGCGCTGACCCCGCTCTGTCATGTGACGTGGCCGACCACTTCCTGGCTGAGTTGCTATTGTTCCCAGTTGCTTCCACTATGTTATAATCCCAGTAACAGGTGACCGCGGAATACTTAGTAGCCAGGAAATGTCACGGAACACCTGAATTCAATGATTTGGAGGGGGAGGGGCCCAATACTTTTGGCAATATAGTGTATGTGTGTGCGTAGAGGTGTGGTTTTTGTAGCATTACCCTTCCAATGAGGAAATCAAAGTATCAATCTTCAGTATCAGGCTCCCTGAGCAGCCAGGACAGGTTCTCTTACACCGGAGCCGATGGGCGGACTGTCCGCCGGTCCCATGGACTGTATCTGCTTTGTATATGGCGGGGGTGAGTCAACATGAAAGAAACATTATGTAACATCTGTGATTACAATGTAGCGCAGACGGCCGTCACGGAACATTTCCGTTAACATGTTGCATAATGTAGCAGCTTATGGAAACGTCTCCGGTGAAGAATTGCCCAATCACCATGTTTATCCGAATTCAGATGAAAGAGCTTCACATGAACCTCTGAACCCCCCGACCCCCACAACCCGCCCCCCTTACACTATTGGCCGATCGCCTTGATAATTCCGAGTTCTCAGAGGACTCAGTCTGTCCGGGGGGACGTTGGATACATATAATCATCACCTCCAACCAAATCTTTATTTCGTGGTAATTATCCCGTTATCTGCTGGGAAAATGTTTTTATGGCCAAGGCGCAGATGTGTCATCGGAAAGTCCTAGTGACTTCCTCCCCACATACCGAAAGCTGCTCATTAAACTTTCATTTGAAAAAAGTTTGAGAGTTTAATACTAGATTCAGCACCAGAGACGAGTCCCCTCCTGCCCCTGGCCTGTGATTGGACAATGAAGGAGCAGCAGCAGACTGATGAGCTCATCCTTCTGCTTTCCCCATATCA